ATTGACACCTACTGTTCACGACACAGCATTGTAGAGCATATCGAGACGAATTTAACGACCTACGACACTATGACCTTTAAACGACCCTAAGTACATAAATGCGATACTTTTGGCTTGCCGCATAATGGACTGGACATCCATCCTGTTGAAACCACATCATTACTGCCGGTAATGCAGGCATCTCGTTGATGGAGTTCTCGGAGCAAAAGAAGATAATTTTCCGACCCACTGGAGGTCGGAGCGTCGGTCCTTTGGAACCGGCTCTAAAGAGCTGTTGGCCAAACCAAACGTTTCGCGAGCTTATGGTACCTAATGGTATGGACCCCCCCCCCCTTTCTGTACCTGAAAATCTCTCGAAGCCAATAGACAATATTTTCAACATTAACTGTGCAGAATAATAAATTTATTACTTGTAGAAAATACAAAAACTTTCATAATTTAAAAATAAAATAACCTTTAAACTAGCGTGATTATTTCGCTCAAGGTCATTTGAAGGTCACAGTGCCGCAGCTCATTAAATTCGTCTTTGCATGCACTATCGTCCTGTATCATGAACAATAGGTGTTAATACGCGTGAAATATCGATGACCTTCAAAACTCGCGAAAAGCGACCTTGAAGAAAAAAGACCTAGCAATCATAATATTGCTACCTTTGAATCAAACAAATTTGTTACGACACATTTTTTCATATAAGCGAAATTAATGGAGGCATTTGATTGTGCAGGAATTAAAGAAACACCCTATATATAGTCAAAAATAATAATATAGTAAAAACTCTAAAAATCAAAACAAGGTATTCGTTTAACGTGTACGGCTTTTGGTGTTAGAGGAGATATTTATAAATGGAAATGTATACAGGGTGTCCCAAAATTATGGCACTTCCGAGAAATGGCGGGTCCCTAAGGTCATTTCAAGCAACTTTTTCCTTTACAAAATTTTTCTTCGAGGCTTCGTTTACGAGTTATTAGCGAAAAACACTGACCAATGAAGAGCGAGCGCGGCTGGTGCGCGGCGGCCGAGCCAACGAGCGGAACTAGGCTTCGCGCGCTCGTTGGCTGGGCCGCCTAGCGCCAGCCTAGCGCCAGCCGAGCTCGCCTCTCATTGGTCACCGTTCTTTCGTCAATAACTCGTAAACGGTGCCTCGTAGAAAATTCTTGCAAAGGAAAAAGTTGCTTCGAATTACTTCAGGAACCCCTCATTTCCCGGAAGTGCCATAATTTTGGAATTCCCTGTACAATGTATCGCATAAATGCGAGCCATCCTAAGTCTTATCAGCGAGAATTATAATAAATAATTATAACGTGTATATTATGAAATATACGAACAATCGAACTGACTATTATTTATACTATTCATATAAATAGTTATTTCATGTTCTAATATATTCTGCGAGTATTAACGCGTATCGTTTATTCTCCTATTCTACTCACTGCCCAAAATTCATTCAGTTTCGTCATTTTACGGCGTCCCCCGCGAATCTTCTCGACAGTCGACGAACTATTTTTCCAGCGGAATAGTTAATCCCGCCAATGAATCGTAGCGCGCGCGAGGAACGTGTCCGCGCAGCCCGTATACCCGCATGGCGCAGCTCGCTAATTGATCAATCAATTATTAACCGCGTCAAACACCGGTTTACAGGGATTTCAAGAGCTACCGAGGCTCGCGACATTCCGTCATCGCGCCGCAGCCGCAACCGCCGCCGCGTCTATTTCGATTATATTATCGGATACGCGGCGCCGATTCGACGAAACGAGTTCGAGCCACGAATTCCGGCGCATCGACGGCTCGAGAAATTCCGCGGCAATTTGTCCCGCCTTGTGTTCCAGCGCGAAGTGTCGCTCCACGCCGAGCTAAAGACGTTTCCAATTTATCCGCCGGTGGCGGGCGGAGCTCGCAATACGGCATAATTGAACGAATCATTCGGAATTATGAAGGGCCCTCGGGCGTTGGAGGGTCCTCTCGTCGTTCCGAGACTATTGAAAGCGGAATCGCAGACGCGGGCTCGCGTGGCCATTGTCCCACGCGTCTGTCGCTGATTAGTCCACGCAACGATTGCAGTTTGATAAACATCATTTGAGCCGTTTATTTTGAATGTGGCGTAAATCACTTTTTCAAAAAAATCGAGTTAATGGTAACACTAATTACAATTGAAATTATCTTTTCATTTTAAAAAAATTTGCGATCAATAAGTTGGGAACTATTGAGATTTGTTCGAGAGAAGTTTTGCTAATTAATGATAAGTGTGTGTGAAGTATTGTTTTGAATTATTTTCAGTATTTTGAAAAAAGTTGTGATCACTGGACTTATTTTTATAAGTGCAAAAGAATAGTGCAGTTTTGTAAATTATATTATATTATATTATATTATATTATATTATATTATAATATAATATAATGTAATATTATATGACATAACATAACATAACATAATATAATATAATATAATATAATATAATATAATATA